ACTCTTTCCTGGGGGTCCTCTTTCCCCTTTACTTCCTTTTAAGCCTGGCCATCCAGGGGCTCCTCTGAGGCCAGGTCTTGATGACCCTTGGAGAAAATAATCATCATTATATTTTAAATTTATCTTGATAAATATATAGTTATTTTCCAACTGCAAACACATTCTTATTTATAAAAGTTGCACAACTGAGAGGGATAGAAAGCATGCAAAATAGAAAGTGAATGTTGTTACTTCCTTCACCTGCGACCTTGTTAGGAAGCACAGTGCAGAACACTCCACTCCCACAAGATAATTCCTGTCATTTATTACAAGGGACAGAAAGTTTGGGATGCACTGGAATCGTTTCATTTGAGAAGACACAAGAGCAATTCTTCCATAGAGGTTACTGCATAGATATTTTTATTAGTGACTAGAGCATGTCTCATGCCCCAGATGAGAAAGAGAGACAGCTGTGATTGGATTTTATTCCTGGCGATTGTCTTAGATACAAAAGGGCATGGAAGGGGAGGCAGGCACCTTCTGGGAGGGGAGCATGCCAGCTGGGACAAAACCCATCCCCATCCTAAAATGGCAAGGACGTGAGAAGGGGGAAAGTCTCAAATGTCCACCTTGCAAACAGCTTAAATTATTAAGTGATTCATCACCATGCAGAAACTGAGACACAGCAGGGTTAACATCATTCTTTTTCTTTTAGAGAGATTTTTGCTATAGGGAGCATGAGCTTACCGGAAAGACAGAGAGATGGAGAGAGAGAAATTGAGAAATTTCCCCTCAGGGGAGATGGCCATACTGCAATCCCTTTTCCTTCATCCTTCTCTTGGGATTTTGGGTATGCATGCACACATGCCCGGTGTGAATTTCAAGCCTCTGGTCCAGGACTCCCATGTGGGATCCAGCACCTTAGCCTCTACACCACCTGCTGGGCCTTATCTGATTATTTCTTATTATTTGAACATAAAGGCAAATCTTTCTGATTGTTGTCTTTTTCAGAACTTTGTGATTTTTCTACTCTACTTCTTCAAGGAACCTATTGATTACGTAGGGGCCTGGTAGAGAGAAGGAGGTCTTCCTTCATCTTCGGCCAAACCTCTAAAGTACTTTTTGCCTCACTCCAACTTTAAGAGATACTCACTCTAACAGTGTGATGTATACTTTCCCATATATGTATAGGTACACATAATATTTATCCATTTCGGCATCCATTTCTTTTTATGGTGGGATTATAGTGGACCTAGAATTCTACAATCTGCTTAACTTTTATCGCTTTCAAAATTATTAAATAGTTTAATATGTAACATCATATAGAGAAAAATATATTCAGTGGCAGGAGCCCTCCAGGCTGGTTTATCAAATCGTGGATCTTTTTTCTTAGTTGTGTTTCCTTTGAAAAGAATGCAGTATGGTTATAATCCATGGGCCTGTGGGACCCACATCTGATCCTGTTCTTCCACTCTCGAAAGGTAAGCATTCTAATGACTCATGAGCCAACGTTTAAAACTTCGCAGAAGAAATTATGATGTACGGTATCCTTATGTAACTTGCAATATGTTATGAAAAGTGTAGTTTTCTTTTTTAGTTGGCAGAGGCTGTGCGCAGTTGCGAGAGAGAGAGAGAGAGAGAGATAGAGAGAGATAGAGAAAGCACTGTCCACGGGTCATGGGCATGCTGAAATCCCTTCTCCATTTCTCCATCCTGTCAGATTTGGGGCGTGCATGCACATGTGCCAGGCGTGTTTCTCAAGCCACTTGGGCTGGGACTCAAACTACAGACAGCCATGTGGGATCTGGCTGTCTTAACGACTAGGCCATAGGACAAGCCTGAAAATGTTCATTTTTAACCAACCTTATTGCCATGTTACTATCCTCTTCTATTTCTGTGTCTCCTGTGGGTTTCAAAGCCCAGCTCATAACCTAAAGTTATTGTAGAAATTCCTTGACAGCAGGTCCTGCATACTGAGTTACAATTCAGAGAAGTGATAAAGAGCATTTCTACACCACTTTGTATTAGCTTCTGCGCCCTGTTCCATTGCAGGTCACAAGGATAACGAGTTCTAGGTCAGTTAATGAAGTGGTCATCTTAGGTAAAAAATGCACACTTCATTGGGAATGGTGTATTTTCCTCTTTAACAGCATTTCTATTTATACCCTGAGAATCATGCACATACCAGGACTTCCAGGAGCTCCGGGGGGGCCCACAGGACCTGGAAATGCATAACAGAAGTTAATGGTTTAGAAAGATATACACGCTACCTCCTCCACTTTTGAAATCTTGGTGGCAATATGATAATAATAGAGACTTTCCAACAATAATAAAGAGCTATTCTCCCATTCTCATACAGATAAATACTAGAAAAGCTCACTTACTTAGACAAATTTCAGAGACGAATCTAATCTTGGATGTCTAACATGCAAAGGTAAATCACGTTGCCTTGTCATTTTTAAGTAATTCAGCAGGGATTACTAAGAGCCTGCTCTGCATTTGGCACTTTTTGTTGGGAGTTTCAGAAGTCAGAAATTCCAACATCCCTATAATCATCAAGGAGCTGCAGTTTGGCCAGTTTCCACCTTAGATCACTTCTAGCTGTAATATTCCATGGGGCTCTCATTCTTTGATATATATCTATAACTATATATAACTGTATGTATATATGTATAATTTATAATCTATGCACAGTTTATACACACACACATACATATACACACACACACACACACACACACACACATATATACTTGAACTTTAGGCTTTGCCACATGACAATAATTTAGTTATTTTTGATGGTATACTATCTAAGAAATTTTCCTATGAAAATTATGAGCTAAGAAATAAGACCATTACTGAGACCAGCAGCCAGCATAATGGCTGTGTCACTGGACTCCCATGTAGTCGACCGTGGTTCGAGTCCCGGACCTGGTGGCTTAAACTCATGCCAGGCGCGTGTGCGTGCGTGCCCAAGATCCCGAGAGGAGAATGGAGGAGAAGGGATTGTGGCGTGGCCATCTTCCCGGGGGGTTGATTTCTTGCTTTCTGTCTCTCTGTCTCTATAGCAAAAACCTCTCAAAAAAAAAAAAGAAAAAAAGAAAGACCTTTACCCATGAAAACTAGGAGACCTTTCCTGCCCCTCTATAATCCTAGGACTATGAGCACAAACTATTCATTACCTTGAAAGAAATACAGAAAAATAAACTGGGGAACCAGCGGTTAGCTTAATGGCTATGTCGCTGGACTCCCATATAGTCGACCGCGGTTCGCGTCCCGGACCCAGTGGCTTAAAACTCACACTGGGCGCGTGTGCGTGCGTGCCCAAGATCCCTAGAGGAGAATGGAAGAGAAGGGATTGCGGCGTGACCATCCTCCCTGGGGGGTGATTTCTCGCTTTCTGTCTCTATGTCTCTCTCTGTCTGTCTGGCGAGCGCACACACCCTATAGTGAAAATCTCTCCAAAAAAAAAAAAAAAAGAAAAGAAAAGAAAAGAAAAATAAACCACAAATGCTTTAGGAAGAAAGGTATTCTCACCCTGTGGGCCACGGGGTCCTCTGGGTCCTGGTGGGCCTGGAATTCCTTTATCCCCTTTTTCCTGGTATGTGTCATAATATTCTGTCTTAAAGAAGGAAAAAAATGGATAAAGAGAAAGGGTAGCTGTTTGTAGAGCTCACCAAAGGCAGTTACTTCAATTTCTTTTTGGCCAAAAACATGGATTCATAATTTATGTGTTAGGAGCTCTGTAACCATGCATGTGGAGACAGATGAATTTAAAGATAAAGCTGATCTTTCTAGATACCAAAGAATCATGGAGACAAGGGTATCATATACTTCATGGGTTTTCAATTAGAATAAATGTGATGATATGAACCAGCTCACACACCCACATTTACGCATATGTATGTACGTATATATACATATATACAGGAAAGTAAACTTACCATGATGACATATGACTAGCTCCCTTTTTTGGATTTTTTTTTTTTTGGTCAGAGATTGTATGCACTCATGAAAAAGAGGTGGAGAGACAGAGAAAGAGAACTCTCTTAATGGGGCATGGTCATCTACAACTGCTGGGATTTGGGGCCTGTGGTGTGCACATATGCCCAAAGAGACAGAGAGAGATGCACACGCAGTGACGTGTCCTCCTCTTCTCTCATCCTGCGACACCTCACGTGGCCTCAGGACCACCCCAGCAGGAAAACCCTTACCTAGACCTTGGGCCTCTACACTATGAGCTGCATAGACCTCTGTTCTCTTAAATTACCCAAACTCAGGTGTTTTCTGTTATTAGCAACGGACTAGACTAGAACTGATGGGAATGCTAAGAATGCCTCCAAGGGACAATGGCCAAGTAGGTTTTCCTTAGAATTCAGTATATTTGGAAAGAAGATGGGATATAAAAGGTGTTTAAAAACGCTGGCTTTTAATATGCTGCCTGGGCCCCAAATTAGTTTATTGACTTGTTTAAAGAGGAGGCAACAAGAGCCTCATGGCTAAGCCACATGTATAAACATCACAAAAAGTATTAGTAGTGACAATAATTTCCTTCAGGAAATCAGTAATGATATGTGCCCACCTGTGGGCACTGTGCTACGTGATTTCACAAAGTAGCCCATTTAACCTGACCAGCAACTTCAAAAAGGTGTTTGAGGACTGCTACGGTTTAAATGTGTCCCCTCCATTGGGACCAGCAGTTAGCGTAATGGCTATGTCGCTGGACTCCCACGTAGTCGACCATGGTTCACGTCCTGGACCCGGTGGCTTAAAACTCACGCCGGGCGCGTGTGCGTGCATGCCCAAGATCCTGAGAGGAGAATGCATGAGAAGGGATTGTGGCATGGCCATCTCTCCTAGGGGCTGATTTCTCGCTTTCTGTCTCTCCGTCTCTCTCTGTCTGGTCTGGCGAGTGCACACGCCCTATGACAAAAACCTCTCCCACTCAAAAAAAAAAAACCCTAAATGTGTCCCCTGCAAAATTCAGGTGATGTCCTGTGATAACATTAAAAGGTGGGGCCTTCGAGAGGTATTGAGACCATGAGGGTTTCTCCATCATTAGTGGGAGTAAGGCCCTTGAAAAGGGGCTTCATGCACCCTCCATCTGCTTGCTCTTCTGCTTGGCCGTGTGAAGGCGCAGCAAGAAGGCCCCTATCAGACCGGATGCCAACACCTTGATCTTGGACTTCCCAGCCTCCAGCACTGTGGGAAACAGATGTCGGTTCTTTATAAATTACCCCGCATCAGGTATTCCGTTGCAGCAGCACAAAGCTGTCTAACACAGGGATGATACGCATCTGAGGAACTTGCTTTTGGTGTAAAGATGCAGATTTCAAAGTCCCAACACCAATTACTGAGTTAAAGTAATGAGCCCTGCGGTCTTGGAATCACCCATGATTCTGCCACCATGGGCCATGTCGTCCAGCCTGCAGGATCACACATGGCAGACCTCAGAAAACAAGATGTGATAACTGTTGTGATCTGAGGCAAAAGATGAACAGATGCCTGAACTTAGAGCCTGGGGCCCTTTTCCTGCCCGCTGAGGGTTCAGAGTCACAGAACACAGAATGCAATCATTCTGTAGCCAAGAGTGACATTAAATCCATGTCATGCTGGGAAGGGGAGCACTCCTACTGCCACAAAGCTTAGGCTGGAATGACTGGTTTTTGCTAACCCTGCATTAAACCCAGGCTCAGCTTCTGCTGCCTGAAAGCTCAAGAATTGTCATACCAGGCTGAGATGGCCAGCTGCCTCACCCTCTCCCTGCCCAGTGTCCCTGCTCTCCTCTACCCCAGCCCTTCTACTCCCCCCAGGGGTGCAGGACCACATTGGGCCAGAATTGTCTGGACAAAGCTTTTCTTCTCCTTCATAACCCAGGATGGGCATTACTAGTACATTCCAGGAATGAAATAGGACCAAATCAAAATATTTACCCATCGTCAAACAGACAAATGATGACAACAATTATTTTTTGGCCTGGTTTGATGAAAAGGTAAATGCTACAGTCGCTATCACAACAGTTAATGGGAGACACTGATCAAACATGGCGTTGATATTGTCTTTAATCACACTTACTGGACCACGAAATCCCGGAGGGCCAATGTCCCCTTTCCATCCCTACGTGGAAAAACAATTACAAATTATGAAAACATTATCCAATGTACGTATGTGGTGTACTTAAAAAGTGAAATGCACAGCTGAGCAATAAACTAATTGCTGAAAGTAATGTTATTTAGATGTAATATACAGAACAAATTAACGTTCAAGGCACGTTGACTTGAAATTACTTTCCCAGAAAGCTCATATCTGGGTCAGGAACCCATCAACAAGAGGGTAAAAGATGCGGCTGTTTCTGCAGTGGCTCTCCACATTTCTTCCACGCCACTGCCTTCGCTGCTCACATGCATTGCACATTCCCATGTTCTCATCCAGATTAGAGGCACAGAAAACCAGGCTGCGGGTTCCACGCAACTCCCAGTCTCCCAGCTGTAACCAACCCTCTTGCTTCTACAGGATATTTCAGAATTCTACTGGAAGGGATATTATTAGGATTAATCTTGAATTTGCACTTATCCCTTGCACATGCAAATTATTTTAAAACATATGTCATGTCAGAAACAAGTGACAAAGGATACAATTCACAGTTGATTGATCATATCTTTTAGCCTACTGTGACCCAGGTTGAGACTCCTGGGGTCTCAACCTACAATTGATCCCAAAGGACTAGAGACTCCCTGTGACTGCAGGCCTTGTTCAGCTCCTCCCTTACAGGGAGCTGAAATGACCCTGGCCCTGTGTCAGCTGGCTTCAACGACACAGGACAAGGTTTAAACGTTTTCCTCAGGAACACCCTTCACCTACGTTGGCCCATCTCTCTTTTCTTCTTAATGAATATAATAAGGCATCTTAATAAAAGCTGTGTTTACAATCCTTGTACCTAGGTCCAGGGTGTGGGGAAAGGGTATGAGTAGGAAAAGCCAGCCAATCGAAGAAGGCTAAGGATAAGATGTCAGCAGGTGACATGGTGGTTAAGGTTCTGGACACTCCTATATGGCTGACCACGCTTTAATTCCTGAACCTGGCGGCTTGCTTTCTCACTTTCTCTCTCTCTCTGTGTATCTCTCTGGTGAATTTAAAATAAATGAATTGCTAAATAAAATAAATATTTTTTTAAAAAAGGGACCCTCCAAGAAGTTCTTAAGGGAGTGCTATGTTGTTCGGTTTTAAAGGCTTTTTGTCCTGTCTTGAGCTGTCGATAGGTTCATGTACCTACTATTTGAACAGAATACTAACCTGTTTCTAGACTTTAAGTTTCAAGGAAATATCATTTCCAGTTCAAAACTGCTTTTCTTGAAATTACCAGCTGAACTTGCTATTGAAATTTAGATTACTTATGATATTGTGTGATCAACAAAATGTTGGGGGAAAAGGAATTGAAGACAACTGTATATAGCAGAGATAGTGTAATAAGAGAGCGGGAAAGGGCAGAGGGTCAAACATGGGGTAAAATCATATATATACATATACATATATATGAAAGTAGAAATGGAATATTATTGATGATAACATGCATGATTAAGCCACTATGCAGTTTATTCTAGATGGGAAACCACATTTAGCATGTTGTGATGATGCTTAGGGAATGAATGTTAAGTAATTTAAAAAAGTTTCAGGAGAAAAAAATAGTAAAACTGTCCATATCAAAATTTAAAAAAAATGCATATTTGACAACTGCAGTAAGCTGTATAACCCCAGCTGGGTACTACTTTATAGTATGTTCATTCTACGCACTGAGATTTATGCCTAAAGTCAGACTTGGGTAAAGTATACAAGATTTACTTGCTGATAACATGTATGTTGATGTGCTTGACTGAGCCAATATACAGTGTATTTTGGAAGGAAAATTCATTTGTATGCTGTAATGATGTATAGTGAGTTAATGTAAAAAAATAAATTTAAAGAGATAATAAATAAATAACTAAAATAAAAAATTTTAAAAAAGGGGACCAGCAGGATAAGATGTCAGGGAGGTTACCTTAATGCCGTCTTCACCCATTAACCCGGGGAAGCCCCGGATGCCCTTGGCTCCCTAAAGAAAAGAGTGAACAAGAATCAATCCAGAAACACCCTAACCGGATGCTCCCCTCTGAAGCAGGAACAGTTCGGGGTTTTTTTTTCTGGGGGTGGGGGGAAGAGCGAGCTCAAATCACCTCTCTTCACAGTGAGAGCCTAAAACCAATTCTCGAATGTGGTTTTTAAAAGCTATAAGCTTTGTGTTACTTAGCGGCCACTTAGTGACTCAGCATCCTTTCCTCTAGGGAGACCAACGCTTCCACTCCATCCATGGCCCCATCGTGCCTTTACCTTCGTGCCAGGGAAGCCAGGGGCACCGTCCTTTCCAGGTTTTCCCT